AATCGTGTAATGTGTAAAGTAAGTCTAGGTATTGATCAAATTCATGCAAAACCCTGACTTCCATCACATTTGTTATTCCCAACGTGTACTGCTTCGAGCCTCTCCAATAGACTGCCTCTCGGCTTCAATACGGGCCAAAATTTCTTGGAAGTTTTATCCATTTCGGGCATGGTGACACCACAGAACGAGCCTATTCAACGAGCAGCGCTCTTCCAGATCAACTTTCGAAGGTCACTGTAATGTTTCCCAGATTTCAATTATAGTTCCTCCAGGTTGAGAGGTTTTATACAAGCAGTTTGTATTCATCTAAGTTACCAATTTGTTTAACTAGAAAATTTTTGACTTATTTAGTTTTCACAGCATAAAATAAGATAAACTATTTACTTGTATTGTTGACCAGAATAAATACCCCCATGAAACAGCAATCATTTATTAGAAAGAATGAATTTCCATGCCGGGTTGCATAAAATATTGTTCCAATTTGAGCTGTAACTTTCGAACTACTACAAATTTCATCGTTTCACTCAAGGTCACGCGAATTCAAACGGTGATGGAAATAAAACTAAGAACATCGCAGTGGAAGATAAAGTTTGGAATAAATATTCTTCACGCATAACTATCGACATACTGGTATGACATTGACAACTGAAATGTATTTCCCGAATGAGAGCCTTATTGCTCGAGTTCGATCAATACCTGGCTGTAAAATACCTGGAAAAATAATTTACATACTCTCACAATGAATGAAATATTGTAAACAGATTCTAACATGAAACAAAAATATTCCCCGAAAAATATCGCAATCACATTGCTTGGTAGTTTCACTTTCAAACACACATGACATGAAAACTGTGACACACATATATATATATTTAACCAATCTCCAATCAATAAACACTTAACGCAGCCTCAGTTCCCCTAACCCACAGAGACTGTTACCTTAGTCTTGAATTGAAACGAACGCCTATTTTGTTTTCGAAAAATCCTTCTTTGTTTCGTCAAACGGAGACGAGCGTTTGTGATACAGTTAGGTAGGGCGTGATACGAATTGCGAAGCTCGTTTGTTTAGGAATTCACGTGACTAGTAAAAGTTCAGTCGTGACTGCTTCTTTTTCTCCTCACTCACTCCGTCGCATGCTCCTTTTTCCCCAATTCTCGTTTAGTTTAGTTTAGTCTGATACGCGTTTGTAGAGCAAACTGGAACTCGGAGGCAGATTATGGACTCCCAACACCACCACCACCACCACCACAGGGGTTCTGTGTCACCTAGGTAGCCTAATCGCCAGTTGCTATCAGTTTATTCAGTGTTCAAAATCATCCCGGGCTGTTTATCGATTAACGGAATCGGTGATCTGGGCTTGTTGCGCAAGGTTACCTATCTATCTATCTATCTATCTATCTATCTATCTATCTATCTATCTATCTATCTATCTATCTATCTATC